GCCGTTGTATGAATGGCTAATAAACACATGAGAAAATGCTCAACATCCCTAGCTTAAAGGAAATGCAAATCAAATCAACATTGAGAAGCCAGGTGCCGGTGGCTCACGCCTATAATCCTAGCTACTCAGGAGGCTGAGATCTGAGGATCACAGTTCAAAGCTAGCCTGGGCAGGAAAAGCCATGAAACTCTTATCTCCAATAAACCACCAGAAAACCAGAAGTGGCGCTGTGGCTCAAGTGGTAGAGCACTAGCCTTGAGATGAAGAGCTGAAAGACAGCACTCAGGCCCAGAGTTCAAGCCTCATAACTGACCCAAAAAAAATCAAAAACCAAAAAAACCCCACTAAGATTCCATCTCAACCCAACAAGACTGGTCAACATCAACAATTCAAACTATAAATTCTGGTGGGGATATAGGGAAAAAAAGAACCCTACACTACACTGTTGGTAGGAATGTAAACTAACACAATTACTCTGGAAGACAGTTTGGAGTTTCCTCAAAAAACTGAAACTAAACATAGAATTTCCCTATGAGCCAGCCATATCACTCTTGGCCATCTACCCGGAGCATCACTTGCACATCCATGCTCAGTGCTGCACTAGTCAGGATAGCCAAGATACAGAAACAGCCCAGGTGCCCTATAATGAGTGAGTAGATCAAAAAAACGTGGTACATAGTCTCAATGGAAATGTACTCATCTATCAGAAAGAATATTTATTTGCAGAAAAATTGATGGATCTAGAAAAAATTATGTTATGTAAATCATAGAGAGGCAAACAGAACATGTTTTCTCTCATGTGTGGAAGTTAGATCTAATATACAAACACACATGTAAATAGGGTTATATATGCATACAAATGAAGTGAGTAAAGAATGGTATACTTAGGAAGAGGAGTCCAATGATGTAACTCCTTTGAACAACTAACTGTTAAAAAGAAAATAACACCAGGAAGCAGAAACATGTTTGGCTGGAGAGGCGGCAACAAGAGGGGGACACACATTGCTGGGAAGGTGGCTCAGTGGTAGAGCGCTTGCCTTGCATGCATGAGGCCCTGGGTTCGATTCCTCAGCACCACATAAGCAAAAAGAAAAAAGCTGGAAGTGGCGCTGTGACGAAAGTAAGAGCTGAGGGACAGCGCCCAGGCCCTGAGTTCAGGTCCCATGACCAGACCCCCCCAAGAAAGAGGGGGACACACAAATGGAAGAGGGCATGCAAATACAGTTATTATATTAAATAGACACTGTATAAAAACAGAACTATGAAACTTGAGGGTAGGGATGGGATGGGAAAAGAGGGGGAAGTATGATACATTGTACTCACAGACTGACTTCTGGATTTGAAACCTTTTTGTACAACTACTTAACAATAAATATATATGTATATATTAAAAAAATTCTCTGTGAACAAGTGATGTGTTGAGTCATATATTCTGCATATGCACATAATGTAATTCACTTAAACATTTCTTCACAGAGGTATGTTAGGATATTTGCAAGGAGAGAATTCCATAATAACCAAGATGCTTTTACAAAGCTAATTTAAGCATAAATCCCTTTGCAATACTTTACCTGATTGTTACAATTACCAATAATGAGTGCATCAGCCAAAGACAACTGCCCCACAATCATGCCCTGCTCCAGCAATGGGGCTCCTGTTTCAGCAAGGCGATTGGACGTGATAACAATGGTATTATCATCATTTAACACCATCACAGGGTCCGCCTAAAGAAAAGAGTGAGAAGTTAATGGCAAGACAAAGTATCAGAGTAAGTTATTCCTCTTCCTGACATCATATACATGTAACACGTACCACATGGACATTTACTTATTCTAGATGATAACCAAAAACTTTTCTTAATTTGTTTTTGTTTTATTTTCTTATAGTATTAGGAATCAAACCCAGGGCCTTGTATATATGAGGCAAGTTTTCTACTACTAAGCCATATCCCCAGCCTTGACAACTATTCTCAAAAAACAGAAGAAAAATAAAAAAGCTAGCTACAGCTAGGTACCTGTGGCTCAAACCTATATTCCTAGCTACCAGACAGGCTGATCTTTGGAGAATCATGATTTGAGGCCAGCCTGGGCAAAAGGTCACAAGAGTACAGCTTAGTAGAAAAACCTGGGTGCTACATCCCTATGCTCAGGTGGTAAGCCTAAATTGTTGCTACTATCCTGGCCAGCCCAGTAATACCCTATTTCAAAAGGAGCCACTGTAAAAAGGATTGGAGCCATGGCTCAAAAGGTAGAATGTCTACCTAGCAAGCATGAAACCCTGAGTTCATATAACCCAGGCTTGCCAAATAAATCAAACTGACCTCAATGAAAGCGGCTACTTCCTGAAGCACCAAGTTCCATTCCACTTGATCTTCTGTATTAAAACGGTGAGTATAATCCTCTATTTCATCTGACAATTCCTGATATTAAGATATCACAAAGAAAAAGAGTTTTTGAAACACCCCATAAAATATACAGCTACATGATTATCTTTTTTTTTTTTTTTCCCAGTCCCAGGGCTTGAACTCAGGGCCTGGGCACTGTCCTTGAGCTTATTTTTTCTCAAGGCTAGTACTCTACCAATTGAGCCACAGAACTACTTCAGGCTTTCTCTGTTTATGTGGTACTGAGGAATTGAACCCAGAGCTTCATGCATGCACTCTACCACTAAGCCATATTCCCAGTCCTATTATAGTTAAGAAGTTTGATTACTAGTAACACCCAGTTCCAATTACTATGAAAAAGACAAAATGAAAATCACACTAACTTGCTTCAAGATCAAAAACTGTTGAATGACATTTACCAAATTAGAACTGTTGACTGACTCCCTAATCTGTGAACAGCCAATCTATTGTTAGAAAAGTCGGAATGGAGACTTCCTGATTTCTTTGGACTGATGTCATATCATGTTTGGAAATAGTATTGTTAGTAACTGGTGTAGAAAAAGACAGAGGTGTGCAGTGCTACTTTAGGTAGACTCACAGGAACCAGCAGGTCATGCATAAGTCCAAAATATTAAGTGTGCAACTGAAACCACTGGGTATGGAGTGCAAACAGAATGCGGGATACAACCATCACAGATACTAAGCAAACCCAGAATGTAGTGAAATTATAAGTACTGAAGAAATGAAGGGCAGAATGATAGATACTCTGAACTACTGCTTGTCAGCATGGTTGGACTGAGAGATACCTAGGGGATAAGTAAGGCACACTTCCGGGCACATCTGTGATAGCATTTCCAGAGACAATAAGTTCATGAGATTCTTAGCCAATCAATGATTTAATCCATTAATGGATTCAAAATCTGAGCAGACTAGAGGGCAGACACTGGAAGGTGGGTCTGGCTGGAGGAAGCAGGTTGGGGAAAGGGGAGCAAATCTTGTCCTGGCCCCTTCCCATCTTTGCTTCATTTCTTGGCAGCCATGATCAGAACAGCTTTTTCCACCACACCCTCCCTGCTGAGATGGACAGACACATTTGAAGCTGTGAGTAAAAATAACCCTTCCTCCCTTAAGTAGTTCTGTCAGGAATTTGAGTCACAGCAACAACTCGAATTCAGCCACAAGACACATTATATACTTTTTCTTCACCAAACCTTTCCATTTCTAAGCTAAGGATTTTAACTGCATGTCCTAGCCCATCCACAGATGGTCTGTAAAAGGTAAAATGTGCTGATGGGACAAGAGCAAGGGATGGAGACTGTCACTTAAGAGTGGTTAAATGTGTTTGAAACACAAGCAAGCTGGGAAATGTTCTGTCATGACCCTGCAGAGAATACTATATTTTAGATCTAATTGTTCTTTGGTATGCACAGCTCCATGGTAGAGCACATGTTTGTCATGAGCCAGCACTGGACTCAATCCCTAGGATAACACTAAAAAAATTTAACTGCAGGGGCTGGGAAGGTGGTTCAGTGGTAGAGCACTTGCCTTGCATGCATGAGGCCCTGGGTTCGATTCCTCAGCACCACATAAGCAAAAAAAAGAAAAAAGCTGGAATT